TTTAAGTATATTTTAAGAGTTTTAAAAATGCAATCCTCACTCTTGATGACTATAGAAAGTGCTATAGGAAATGTTTAATTACTTAAAATATTATCGCAAAAATCTCAACTATTTAAAAAATAGTGAATAAAAATCAAAACCATTACCCAAACATGTTATACATCAAATGTTATCACCTCATCTCTGTGAGGTGATATATTGGGAAATCTTATATATTTATCATTGAGAGGTTTTGCTTTTGCCACTCTAGAGAGCCAGATCCAGCCTAAAAGTTGTTACTTATTTTAATGATCACTTTGAATCTTACTAAACATTCTGGGTAGTTTTCTTAACTTTTGTTTGTATGATAGGGAATATAAATAGTTGTTCAATTTTGATATTGTTTCAATTTAAAATAGAAAAAATAAAGCTTCTGAATGTATTTAATGGAAAAGTATCATGGCATTGCAAGGAACTGCTCACAACAAGAACACCAGGTCACTGTCAATTGCTTATTGGTATTATTTAAAATAACCAGCATTTTCCTGCTAACACACACCCACAATATAGAAACAAGTTAGATATCAAACTGATATAGAAACAACTATCCTCCATAACTCCAAATTATCAATACATGTTTTCTTAAAACAATGTTATTATTCTCATTTATAAAAAGTGAATCCTCTACATATGAATTACTACTACACTTGCAAATTGGTTAAAAAATTTATAACTCGAAGCACCGTTTTATATTTTGGGATTCCAAGTTATTTTTTATTTGACAAAACTCTCTATGGAGCATTGTCATTTATGAATGCAATAGCTTCCTAACTGATTTATCTACTTCTAGTCATTTTTTTTACTAGACAATTTTAAAGAGCAGTTTTAGGTTCACAGAGAAATGGAGCAGAAAATACACAGAATTCCCGTATTCCTCTTCCCAGTCCTCTGCCACAGCCTTCTCCACTATCAACGTAAACACCAGAGTGGTACTTTTGTTACAGTCAATGAACTTACATTGACACATCGTGTCGCCCAAAGTCCATGGTTTACATTAGGGTTCACTCTTGGTGTTGCACATTTTATGAGTTTGGACAAATGTATAATGACATGTATTCACCATTGTGGTATCATACACAATATTTTCACTGCCCTAAAAATCCTCTGTGTTCCACCTGTTCATCCCTCTCTCCCCTTCCCAATGCCTGGCAAACACTGATCTTTTTACTGATTCCATAGTTTTGCCTTTTCCAGAATATCAAATAGTTGGAATCATATAGTATGTAGCCATTTCAGATTAAATTGTTTACTTACTAATATGTACTTAAGGTTTCTCTTTGTTTTTTCATGGCTTGAAAAGCCATTTCCTTTTAGTGCTGAATAATATCCCATTGTCTGGATGTACCACAAGTTTGTTTATCCATTCACCTACTGAAGGACTTCTGGTTGCTTTCCAAATTTGGCAATTATGAATAAAACTGCTATAAACACCTGTATGCAGGTTTTTGTGTGAACATAAGTTTTCAATTCATTTGAGTAATTACCAAGGAGTGTGAATTCTGGATTTTTAGTTCGTTTAATCCTGTAGAAACTACCAAACTGTCTTCCAGAGTGGCTGTACCATTTTGCATTGCCACCAGCAATAAATGAAAGTTTCTGTTGCTCCACATCCTCGCCTGCATTGGATGTCAGCGTTTTGGATTTTGGCCATTCTGTTAGGTGTCTAGTGGTCAATATACAATTTTGCTCTTATAAAATCTCTTGGATATTGTTGCCAAACATAATTTTGGTTACATTGTTCCCTGATTGTCAGATGTAATCGCTTTTATTTGCCTACATGTTAAAAATGCCACTTTCTGACGGCATACATGAGGCTTTCCACTGCCTGGCTTCTATATTCACTCTGCCTATCTGCTCACACCACATCGTTCCAGAGACTTGAAACAGATGTTGTTGATCTCTCAAACCATTTTTCCTGCCATACTAGACTTCTTCCTAGTACTTTATGCTAATTTCCAACTATTAATAATTCCAGAAAGACATTAATTGATATTAAGGTTTTAGAGTAGTGTTTTCCTGAATGATGTGAGTTCTTTTTAAGAATTTAAATAATTTTATTTCTATAAAAATCTTTTTAAAACAATGCTTGCAAGAACTTTTCTTTCTGGCAGTATTGGAAGTCCATGTGCAGAAACTCTCCTCCTGGAGTTGAACTCTTAAAAGGCTCTGTCTACTATTTAAACAGCTTTAAATCACGACGGAATGAGGGAAACTTAGAGGAAAAAACAAGGGTTCTAGCAGGAACCCTGTATCGCTGTGCGGCGGGGTGGGGGAGGCCTGCCAGTTCGCTGGCCTGGAACTGAGCTTTCATGAGCCCCACGCATGTGAGGAGTAGCAGCAGAATTGAAATAATCACAATTCATTGTAGGTTCAGAGAAAGATCTATGATGTCCAGTGAAAAAAGCCACAAAAACTTTTGCCTGAAATTGCATCAGATTTGTTTGTCATGTTCCATACACAATTTTAAAGAAAGCCAGTAAAATTAATTAAATTCTTACAAGTGAAACGTAAGTACTTGTGATTAATTCTTTTAAAGTGAACCATCATAAATTCATTCAACAGAAATATTTCCATATTGGCTTTTACTTAAAAACTTCATAAATAAGCAAATAAATTTGATATTTGTTATTTCCTTTTACATGTACTCTTGTGCTTAGCAGTAGACGTGGTCTTTAAGAATTTGTAAATGATTACTTGTTAGCTATGATACCAATCATAAATACAATATTGGAAGTTAAAATACTATAAAAAATTATATCATCCTACAGTGGTTCAAGGAGATAAATATACATATAATTTTTTTTAATTATATCTTTCTATTTAGAAGACAAATCTTTCTATTTAGAAGACAATGCTAAATACAAAAATACTGCACAGGAATTTTGTATAGTCCCAAATAGTATGCATAGCTCATTAGCATAAGGGTCTTTGGGAAGTCAACTGTTCATCAATTTCTGAATCCCTTAATATAATATAATATGAATGGTTAAGTTGCTCATAGCTTTATTAAAGTCACCTATTTTGTAACATGGGTTCTATGTAACAAGGTCTAGAGTGGAAACACCCAGATGGCCAATACCAACACCATTATCAGTTTTCTCTGCTTGGACAGTGACACTGTAATCAAACACAGGACTGTGTGCCAGAAGGCTAGACAGCCCTTACACAGCATTCATGCCCCGAGACGGTGCTTGTACTCACAGCTGGAGAATATCAGCGGGCAGGAGTGCTCGTCCATGGGGAAGTTGTGCAGCTGCAGCTGGCACTCTGCGTTGATGGTGAGCCTGCGGAAGAGCCATGCATCACTCTTGAGGTCGGCAACAACACAGCACCATCCCTGGGCAAGGCCAGGGGGACAGTTAAGTTCCCACGGTGCAGGGAGAGGGAGGGCAGCTCCCATCACTCAGGGTCCAGCACATACAACTCACTCTTGGCAATGACACTGTTCCTTTGGTGAGACCGTTTGGTTGCTTTCCTACAGTGTTATTTTGTTTTGCTTTTAACTATCAGTAGCAGAGGGAATTCCAGTTAGTAAAATTCCAATTGTGTTTAGAAATACAAGCCAAGTCAGAGAGGAGGCAAAACCAACTGTTGTTTTCAATCCATTTAAATTAGATCCTTCCTCCACTTGGAAACTTAGGATTTGTCTAAATAGGCAGTATGCCAAATTAATCCACTTGTAAAGGGGGATTTCCTATTTGGACAACTTCCCGCTATTTCACAAGGCAAGTGGTGACTTGCGAAGTGGAACACTGCACTCTTACAGAGCAGACAGTCCTGTATTTCAGAGTCTCTGTGAAGGACCCCAGGGCCGGCATGTCTCCATTCTGGTTCGCTGAGGCTCAATTTCATTTCAGAGTCTCATTCGTATTGCTTTAAGGTTGAGGAGGACACATCTTTTACAAACTCTAGCTCTCTCGCCTTATTTCATCAGCACAGTGCCCTGTCGTGCCTTTTTGTTGTGGTTGTTGTTTCCTGCCTGGCAAAATTATTATTTCCCTGAAATCTTAAAATTCTCTAATCTGGCCTGGCATGGTGGCTCATGTCCATAATTTCAGCACTTTGGGAGGCAGAAGCGGGAGGATTGCTCGAGGCCAGGAGTTTGATAACAGCAACATGGCAAGATCCTATGTCTATAAAAAAAATTTAAAAATTAGCTGGGCGGGGTGGCGCATGTCTATAGTCCCAGCTACTCAGGAGGCTGAGGCAGGAGAATCACTTGAGCCCAGGAGTTCCAGAATGTAGTGAGCTATGATCAGTCATGCCCTTGTACTGCAGCCTGGGCTACAGAGCAAGACCCTGTCTTTAAAAAAACAAAAACAAAAACAAAGAAAAAAACACAACCAAAAAAAACCCCTTTAATTTTTTGCTCATTTTCATGTTCATCGATGCGTATATTTGTGCTACGGACACTTGTTTAACATTAGGAGTCACAGATTTCTCCTCATGGGCACAGTCATTTGTAGTTAAAAGCTCATGGTGCTGGGGGCGGGGGAAGGGAAAGCGCCCAGGGCCCCAGAGGAAAGGGCACGTGAAGGTACTCAGGGTACTCGCAGTGGTGTCCCCCGAGGCTGGGGAAGCAGGCACAGGGTCAGAGGAAGGAGAGCGTCACATCCTCCTGAGCCAACTGATTTGGAAACGCCTTTAGACCTGATAGGCAGGTGGCTCGGAGAGTCTGGAGTCCAGAGGGACAAGGGACGTGCGGGGTTGGAATAGGCGTGTGGGAATCCTCAGCATGGACGTGGCTTAAACTCATGGGAACGGGCGAGCTACGGCAGCGGGAGCTGTAAAGCGAGTAAAGCCATGGGGGCCATGCGCTGAGGGGAAAGAGCAGGAGGGAGCCCCGTGCCTGGGGGCAGCGGGTGACTTAGAACAGAGGCTGTGAGCGCCCCGGCTTCTGCCATCCCGGGAGGCGGGAACGCAGCGCCTTGTGGGGCTCCCCCGCACTGGGAGGACACCCCAGGGCTGCTGTCCCATCCGAGGTGGGGCTGGCAGCGGGCTGGCCCAGGCGCGTCACTGCTGTGTGTTCACTTGGACTCAGCATCCTGGCGCAGAGACCTTGGAGAGAGGAGTTCCCCGTGGACAACGAATCAGTGCACGAATCTGAAGCTCAGTTTCCCTCACCTCGCCCGATTGCTGCAGGGGCCAGGGCCGCTCTGCCACCAGGGAGACCCACTACGGGGTAGCAGCCACGCCCATGAGGGATGCACTGGGGACGCCCACTTTTTCTTTGTGGTCTCCCAATTTGGCTCTAACTGCACTAGTTAATTAGTACTCCAAGACAGCTATATTTTCCTAGCTGAATGGTTTAAATATATTAATGATAATTTTCACAGCCCACTTCCAGCAGCAATGAATTCTGATGAAGAAATGAATTTATATTCTCTGTAGGTCATACGTATACCTTTATTTTTACACATGTGACATTAGGACAAAGTCCTTGAGGATGCTGCAGTGCACTAAACATGAGAAGCAATGGAACTTAGAGATGAAATAGGGTCTCATCCCTATAATGATTTAAACTAAGGATCCAAAATTAGAACACAAGGAGTGCTTGCTTCAGCTGCATATACATGAAATTAGACCATAAGGAATTAAAGATCCACACAGCATCTTACCTTAAAGTGTAAAGGATTTTCCCATCATTCCAGATCCTGAGGAGCTGGTTGGGTGTGGTAATCCAGTGAGCCTCTGCGGTTTTGGAGTTGCGGAAGATCGTGTCTGGAATCCATATCAACCCCACCATGTTGCTGTTCAGTGTAAGAATTTTCATCGTGCTGTTGAATCGAAGGCGACTGTCTGTCCAGGTCTGAGCAAAAAATATATCAATTTGGTATTCCTGAAATAGAGCAAAAGGAAAAACAAGGCAGTTTTATTAATAACTTTTCTGTATATTTTGTTTTCTTTGTCAAACCATTTGTTTTCCTTCTATTTTAACATTCTGACCACTGGAATTCTCTTTCTCAAGTGCCCGGCTCATCATGGTAAGCATTCAACAAACAATAACCAATATTAGTCAATGGCATAATAACATTGTGACATAATGCTCAATGAATCTTAAATTGCAATAAATATATGAAGTATGGTGCGGGGCTGAGAGAGGTGGTAGAATATGTTTCAGAGTGTGGCGGCAGACCCTATGTTCACAAGTTCAAGCTTTGGCAGGTAGCGTGAGCTTTTGAAGCCCTTGTTCTCTAATCTGTAAAATGGGGGAAATAATAGTGTCCACCCCCTAAAGGTGTTGTAAAGATAAAAGGAAATAATTAAATGAGAAACCCTTAGTGCCTGGCATAGAGCAAATGATCCATACATATTAGCTCATATAATCATCGTTATTATATTTTTTTACTTAAGAGTCTTCTCAGACAACACAACAAAAACAAAAAGAAAAGTAAGAAACAAACTACAAGGAAGAACTGTGGAGAGGATAGCCTCTCAAAGCAAATGATGATTCCAACAGTAGGCTGCCAGGGTTCAGATTTCAGAGGCAAAGGCCCAGCCTTGGAAGCCATTCCGGTGCTCGCAGTGCCGAGCGAGTAAGACTTTGCTGAGACCACCAGATAATTAGGCTAGGGCTGATACCACCAGGGGACCCAGAGAACAATCTCCAGACCAGGCCACCCCAGAGTCCACTCCCCTAATTACAGTAAAGAATTATCATCAGGTCCACAGTAAGAAGGACATAGAAGCTGATTGTTAGAGATTTTTATATCTTTCATAGTTTTTGTTGTATATTAGCTATTATAAATATATTACTTTTATAGAGTATGAGTTCATTAATTCTCAACAAATCCCATATTTATCCTTTCCATTGAGTTTCTAGTTAAAGAAACTCCTTATGATAAGTAATTCAAATGACAGTTTATAATTCAACTGGTCTTTCATGAACTAATCTGTTCGTTCATCATTTCTTTGCTGCACTGACTGTGCTAGGCCCTGCCAACCATGGAAGACCCAGCACTGTGCCAACAGGAATACCCTTTTCCCTCCTAGGGCTCATAGTGTATTCAGAGAAGACAGGCTTTAAAAACATAATCTGATGGTCATATACACTATGCAGAAAAATAAGGCTGATATATCAGTGAGGCTTCTAGTTCTAGAAGAAACAAATCTCTCCAAGCATCCAACTTAGGAGGAATTACGGAACAGGGCGATGCCTTGCACAAGCATTTTAGCAGCTGGGGAGCAAATGGCAGGGAAGCAGCAGCTGGGAGCAGGTTCTCAAGGAAGGTTCCCTAGAAGCTGTGTGATATCTCAGCAACCAGAGGGTCCCTCTGAAGTCCATCTGTCTGCTAAATATGCCTCTGGAATTAATGGCCTCACCCTCTCTCCTGACTCCCAAAATGTGTACACATGTGTTTCATTGACAGACTCTGAACCCAGAGCCACACAGAGAAAGTATGTGTGTGTGTGCGTGTGTGTGTGTGCATGTGTGTGTGTTGTTTTCTGTTGTATAAACTAGCAGGTACTGAGTGATACAAAAATGGGGTTCAAAGAATGCTGGAACAAAACTAGAAACAGGTAGCACTGCCTTAGGGGTCAAGAATGTAGGACTGGAGGCTGGAAGCCCAGTGCCACGCATGGGTGGCCACACTGATGTGTGTAATAAGGCAGAACATATGTGTAATGCACATGTAGCTTTTTGGGCAGAGGTTGGAAAAGAAATGTTAATTAGCATGTGTTGACTGCTATTGACTTTGCTTGGTAAGTTATCACAAGAAGGAAATTATCTCTGAAGGAACAGGGCAGTTTGGAAGCAGTTACACAAAAGAAAAGACAGATAAAGCAAACTTGGTCTGGTGAGGCTTCCAGAGGCAAACGCTTCTCAGCCCCATCACTAAAGCAGAAGGTGCGAATGGCCTTGAGTATCAGAAGCCTGTTGAAACAGCTTTGCAGAAATAATCAAACCCGTTATCAAAGCCTCTCAATGGATTAGCTTGTCACCCTGTAAAATCTTTAATTATGTGACCATGGCTCAAGGAAAAGAGACCAAAGAGTAGTCTTCCACTGAGGCTGGTAGGGTCAAGTGGCCTGTATGCAAGTGAAGAGAGAAAGGGTAAGAATGAAACCAGGGTGGGGAGAGGCATCGGCCTGCAAAAGCAAGTGCACAGAGTAAATCTCAGAATCCTGTTGAGAAAAGGTCTGTGGCTGTGCACACATGAAACTGGCTTTGCAGGCATGAAGCTGGCTAAGTTTTAAGAGAGTTCTGCCAAAGGAAGCACAAGTCACTATGTAGTCACAATCCACCTCCTTGGGTGTGACTGAGCAAGTGGGCCACAGCAGCTGAAATCTAGGTGTTAGATTTCACGACAAGTGAAAGAAAGAACCCGAGTGCAGAAGCCTCTATCCTCACCCTGTGTACAACTTGTGTGACATCCTTTACCTTCCTTAGCCTCAGTTTCCTCACATGTAAAATGGGAGTGTTAGGTTAGATTAAATGTAAGGACTCTTCCAACTCTAAAATTTTATGCTTCTGTATCCCTGCCTAGAGTTAGCCTTTCCTGGTTGAAATTAATTGTCCATTTTGTCCATTTCTGTGTCTTACTTTTCCAAGAAGTATGTAATAGAATTACTTCCTCATATGTCCCATCTCCTGCTAGTGCAAAGAACTTTGATAGCTTGAATTCTGGATGAAGTGTTCAGAATGGTTCATTCAGAATGAACCATCCATTGAGGCTTGTAGAGCAAGGTATGAGTCCCACCCCCCTACTGCTTTCCTGTAGCAGAAGGGAGCACCCTACGATGTTCTGGGGGGCAGGGCCATGCTCTTCTTGACTCTGAAATTCTGTCACAAACTCCAGTTTAAGAGGGTGTGAGACTGTGTATGGTGTGGCTGTTGTATTGTGTCTACATTTGGCTAAATGTTGGAGAAACACTTCCCACCCACAGAGAAATATTTTTATTTCTCTCATAAACTTTCTTTGTAATTGCATTAATCATCCTTCTTTTCTACAAAAGAAAAAATCTTAAGATGTCTATCTAAAAAAATTTTATGTAATTTATTAATAGTTATGAAATGAATGTATCTGAAATACTATTGATAATAAATGTGACTGGTAAAAATTGCATAGAATTCCTCCATTTTAAATAGTCATGTTGGTGGAGAGCCTACATTCATAATTTGTTTTAGTAACTGGAGTGCTTAATGACTCCTGAATAAGCCATGAATTACTGGGGCATGCGGAGCATTTTGACAAAACAGAAGAAAAATTATGCTTCTTAATAATATCCATCTGCAACTTCTAAAAAATTTAAAAATGATTTCCTTACACTTTTCTCCCTTCCTTTACCAAAGAAGAGGGCCCAGTTAAAAAAAAAAGATTAATAAAGCACAGACACTTTGAGATTCTGGGTGTAGGAGACATTTGCTCCTGGGGGACAGAGCCTCTCTCCGGCATGTGGCCTCAGTCCATTAGCACTCTGCCTGGCACGAGCTGGATAAACACATCAGAAAAGAAGCCGCCGGCAGTTTTCTTTATAAAATGGTAGTAACAGACCCATGCCAATTATAGGTTGTTCAGATTTCTTACCTTAAAATGAATAATATGTAGTTATTAGAATAAAATCATTTTTATTTCTTCCTTTTCAGGTATAGAGGCATCCCTCCCTCCCTCCGTCCCTTCCTTCCTTTTCTTTCTTTCATATTATTTCCTCAAATTTGTCCTGGGAAACATGGCTTTGACAATCTGCCTCCAGTTTTTCCCAGGGACCCCTTTAGCCCTGCCTCGGGGACTACGTCCCCCTGAGGTCCAACCCTTTGTGCCGGAACATTCTCATACCCCTCCCCTTATTGGGAGTCCTTGCCCATGCCATGGTCTGCGCTGTGGGCGCTGGGCTGCTCCCTTGAGGTTCTGTGCTCGGTCTAGGTAAAGACCAATACCATGAGCCGCCCTCAGGAGCTTGGGCCCAGAGGACAGGTGTCAGGCGGTGTCTGGAGGGCAGGCACCTGGAGACCACGAGCTCCCTCCAGCCAGAGAGCTTTGGCAGGCTGTGCCCTCCATCTGACCCTCAGACCACCAGGCAGAAGGCAAAAGGAGAAAGGGTAAGTTTCCCCTCACCCCCGATGCTTTCTCAGTGCAAAGAACACCTTCACACTGATATATTAAATATATAAATATGGATATACATAAGCATATGTTTAAATAGATAGATAGAAACAGACTACCAGGGTGGAGTGCAGACTGCCTGGATTGCTGGGCGGGTTCTCAGGCAGTCCCCTATGTCCTCGCTGGCTGCTAACCCTTAACCGGAGGTTTTGCCCTTCACCATTTGCACCCCTGGCACAGGGGTGGGGATTTTCAGAGTGGACTTCACAGCCTCTTGGACCTGCCTCAACCCTGGCAAAAGTATCAGAGAAGGCCCAGAATGGCTTTAAATATTAAAGTTTTGAGAGATGTACACCTTCAATTTCTGGGTTTCGTACTTTCTATAAGAAGATTCCGCAAGAGACTTTCTTACTTTTTAACATAAAATCACTTTCTTGTCATAGTACGTAAATTTCTTCTCAAAGAATTGTCTACCATTTTCTTAACATATTTTCATTTCAGATAAAAACCTTTTTTAATGTTATTATTTTTAACAAAATACGAGTTTTGGAAAGTTCTAGGAAGCAAACTATCAGTAGCAAATGACTTTCACATTTTCTTCTCTCTTGTCAGAGCACTGGATGCCACTCATTTCCCAACAGTCACCAGCTTTCCTCGGGAAGGGCTTTTTCCCAGAGCTCTGTTGTCGAGACAGGGATAACTTCCAACTGCAGAAAGTGAAGTTGGCTTCTACTTACGTCGGGACAGTCCCGATACATTCCCGTGACTCGGGTGGGGGCGGCCCCATGAGCTA